GACACTACCGTGCTGCATTGTTGGCAGAAGGTGCCATCGCATTGGTTACCGACGACTGAACAGTGCCCCACAAACCCTCAACTCAAGAATATCAGGAGGTTCTAGATAATGCATATATTCTGTTCTTGCAGCGACTGTAGGTCCACTCAAGCTTTTAAGGCTCCACGGAGCATTTGACAATCTTTTGGGCTAAGCCCGCCACAGACTCCATCGTGCTTTTTCCTGCTGCATATGGGGCGAATCTCGCCGAGCAGGAAGCTGAACTGGTAGGTTCTAAATCCTAGTTTACTTATCCTTTTCTTTTCCTTGCAGTGTCTTTATTATTATAGCACGTTTAGGGCTCAGAACAACCTCCACCAGCGGAGGATAGCTGATTGCCCCAACCGTGCCGAAAGCGCACGTGCATCACCGCTGCCAGCAATTCCGGCGCCCCCAAGCCCTGGCTGGCATCGAAGGGTACGATCCTTCCGTGCCAAGAAGCGGCGACAAATTGCCGCCAGGCGTTTCAAGGGCGTCTTGCGTGAGCAGGACGTTCAATTCCTTGAATCCCACCACAGCAGACCAGTATACCGGCGTGACATGGGTGGCAAGCGCAACCAAGGGAACCAGCAATGGAAAGATCAATATGCAGATTACTACTGGCGTGGTGCTTGGTCGGTGTCATCACGCTCACGGCAGGAGCAAGCGCAGCAGCCTCGCTACGACCAAGTGCATGTGGAGGACAAAGGTGGAATTGCACCGGATGGTGCCCACCCCTGGCAAGCGACGACACAAGCAGCTACAAGAACTGCCACAGCTACGCAAGCCGTGCAACGCGAGTTAACAGTTGCGCGAAAGGCGGATGCCAGGTTGAGACGCTTGGCGTCAGAGAGGGAGCTCCGGGCGCGCCAGTGGGAGCAATTCAAGGTGAACCAAAAGAAGAATTTTATTCGGCAAAAGCGCCAATTCCAGGAGGACATCGAGAAGCTCGACGGCGAATTGCAGTTGACCGCAGAACAGGGAAAGGCTGCAGCAGATCGTATGAAGTTGATCGTTCTGCAAGGCGTAGAAGCCGTCAAGGCGCCCGAGGCTGCGCCAGAAGCCGACGACATGGAGTGGGAGCAGATGATGTCCGAAGAAGCAGGGGCAGCACCCCCGGCGGGATTTCTACAGGAAGCGTTTCTTGCTGCTCAGAGATTCGGAGGACCACCAGCGGGAGCCATGGCAGGAGCGAGGGATACGACTTCTCGCCCAGGCCCTGGGCTGACGGCACCTGCGGCGTACAATGCGTCTTCTCCCGGAATGGCAACTCGAGACCCTTACCTGGCCAGTCCGTCTTTCGGAGGGCATCCTACTTGGCCCGGTGGTACTACCCCGATGGCTGGCTACCGTGGTGCGCCGAGCACTATGGAAGAGGCTATGAACATGGCCCCTCCACCTATGGGTGAGGTGGTGGCAACGGTGGTGGAATGCCGCCACACGGAGCTCCGGGACCAGTGCATCCAGGAATGATGGAGTCGACTTTGACGACACCGAATCGTGGCCTCGGGGGGCCACCGAGAACTCCGCCGCCACCCCGCCCTACGCGTACGGAGGCCGATGTGGACGCGGCCAACCAATCCTTGGCGGACAGGTTGGCAGCCAAACGCGAGGAACGGCGACCGGTGCCCTTCCCCTCCGCACCTGCGACAGAACTGTCCGCGGAAAGGGTACGAGCGGAAGCCTCCACGGCAGCCGCTTCGACGAGTGGCCCAGTGCAGGCCTTATCAACGACGACGAAGATTACGACCTCACCGAAGACACGCCGCCAGGCTTGGGCGGCAACGGCTAGTTAAGGCCAAATGCAAGCTTCCGATTTCGCAGGACCCTGATCTCACACTGTTTTCCTTGGCAGGCCCGGAAACTGTGATTGCACTGGGGCAATCCTTTTTCCAGTTGCCTTTCGAGTTGAGAACGTGTGTAGCGCAGGGTCCTTGTGGAGTTTTGGAAGTTTTTTGTGAGGATTGTACAAAGTGTACAGCACCGATAAGTGAGGCCCGCTCGTGTATAGTTACGACCCTTTTTCCATGTGCAAGCAGCCCGATGGACTTCGACTTCCCTTGTTGGTCCCGGCGCCTTGTGCCACAGTCCAGCCTTTGCCATAGGCTTGCTCTGTCATGCGCACCAATTTCCTCCCTACTCTCTCCCGACCTCCACATGGGTTTCTGCTGGAGGCGTTGGACTTTTGCGCCATTTCAAAAGGCAGCAATGTCGAGGTGCAGTCTGCAGCACCCTTGTTTCCTGTCTCTCAACCGCGACTCTTCTGAATCTGTAGCGCCTAAAATGCATATCGGTGGCTCTGGGATGCATGCACAGATTCGCTTTGTCACGGGTATTGTCCAGCAGAATAGGACCTGGGCTCCGCTGGCTCAGTTGCCCCCATTTTTCGTCCCCACCACAGGGTTTTGTATCAATCTGGAGTACCAGGGCCAAAGAGACGTATCGGTGGCTCGGGGACGTCCTCTGGTTACTCTGGATGATTTTCCTGTGGGTGAGTCCTGTGCACGGACAAAACGGTGCCAGTATAGCAGTGGGCAATGCCAAGTGCAGCAGCACCCGCCATCTTCCTGGCTACTCACTACTTTGTTGCTTGCCGCCTCTTGGTTGGTTCCGTTGGGACGCAGCCTGGCATGCTGTATGCTGCTTGGTCTTCTGGCCCAGCTTGTGCGACATACACACGTTGAGTCAACTCCGATGGGAAGACTGCTCTCCTTCCCAGCAAACGGTGCACTTTGTTTTCCATTGCGAGCCCTTGGTGGAGTTTCGCAACCCAAGCCTGTTTTGGACTGGTCTCCAAGGCCGCGACGTCGAAACAAGCCCGGTCCTTACATCCCATGTCGGCGAAACACTGTGACGACCCCAACTTGTATCCGGCGGGGATTCCTTGCTAGCTTGTTGTCCTTGCCAGTCTGTATTCACGGCCCAGCTGTTTTGCTCTGTTCTGCATGGACTTTTCCACATCCTGCCGCGGGTATGACAAGGCCGTGGGACATTGAAGCACCTGATAGTTTGCCGCCGGCGCGCTTTGTCCCAGCCGCACCAGAAGTCCAGCATGGCGTCACTGATGTTGTTATACCTTGGCAGGACTCAAATAGGGCGGTCGCAGCTCAGAGCAAGCTTCGGGTAGGGCCCTTGCCCTGGGACACGGCGCCGGTCCTAGATGGTGCCCATCAACACCTTGGCGTTTACCTGTACACGCCACACTATAAGCCCCAGGCTTTTGCAATAACTGTTTCGGATGGCACCAGTGTTCGCGAAGTGATGGATACCATCATTGACTGCGCACCTGGTGATGATGCACAAGTCTGTGATTTTGCCATCCCAGTTGTGCCCCAGAGGTGCCCAGGTTTCCTATACGCAATTCGCATGCCAAGCATTGCGCGAGGACTGCAAGGGGGAATGGCAGGAGTCATCATCGATTTAACAGCAGTCGGAGGGCACTACTTTGCCACATTCCTCCCCAAAAGTCTATCCCATAAAGACCTTACAGAGTTTGCGATGCCGCTCACCAAGGCAGGGGTAGAGGAGTTGTTCTTCTTCATTGGGCACCGCGCCAAACCATGGCCTGCTTGTGCTGAGATCAATCTCCGAGACGGCGAAGTAGTGACAGCTTCTGAGTATGCATCGCCGCTACCGCGTCATCTGACGGCTGAAACTCTCTTGCAGCCTGGCAGCGCCTTGGGCCCGATGCATCATTTTTTCGATATTGAAACCCATGAGCACTGTTGCGTCATGTACAAGGAGAAGCGCTACACTATCCCTCCGTACCATTTTGAAGGAAAGACAATCTTGACACATTTTGCAGAAGGATTTCACCTGCCTGAGGCCAGCCTCCTTTCTTGCAATTTTCAGTTGCAGGACCTCGACGTCCATGGGGCATTTTGCCCTCGGGTAACTGCCATTATTGATGCACCAGCAGTGCGTGAAGGAGATGAACTCCCTGACAGATGCGACTACTTCGCGCTGTGTGATTTTCGGCCATTAGGATCCAAGCCTCATGTCATTCACAGCCATGTACCGCTGATTCATGTCCCCAGTTTGCTTTCCGACCTTGGAATTCAGCTGCCGCCTGCTTTCGACGTCGGGGTTTTAGGAGGTAGGCTCAAGGACGATCATATCAAGTTGCGGGACAATGTCAGACTTGTCTTCTTCGCAAAGTTGCGGACTGACAGTCCGGGTTTAGATAGCGGGTCTGAGTGGGAAGAGTTAGGTCACAGCCCTAATCCAGACTTGCCACGTGGGCCCCCACCGCCAGTGCCCATTTCGGCGCCAGATGAGGGGCCAACATTTTGGGACCACCCGTGGTCCGGCACTGCAGGCCCTGTGATGCCACCGCATAGTGATGCCACACAGCATGTTAGTTTTCCGTGTGCGTTTCAGGGCACCTATGTCGATGGAACACTGCCCGAAGGACAGGGGTGGAACGAAGGAGCAGATGCCGCGCCGGAGCTCTCCCCAGTTGAAGGTCCAGACACAGGTCGTCTTGAGGGAGATGCCCCGTTGCCACCACCAACCACCTTGGGGGCTTCACCGGCAACACTCCAGGTGAGAGAGCTGATGTTGCAGAGGACGCCCTCCCAGGTGTTGACCCGCCCGTAGAGGAGGAGCAGTCGGACTCCCTGCGATCTGTATCCATTCTGGTTCTAGTGTACGCGCCGGAATACAGTCCAGAGATGCATACGCTTGAAGTTCAGGTGCCATGTGGGGTGGACACGCTTCTAACAGCAGTCCGTGCTAAACGCACTGATGAGACCGCTACGAGTTTGTCTATTCTGACGCCTGCCGCACCGCAATTGCATCAAGCTTTTGTCACCCTTGTGGCGTCACCGGCATGGCCCACCGACAGGGTGGTAGTGATTCTTGATTGCCACCGCATCGATGGGCGGGTTTTCTCGATTTCTCTGCAGAGCCCCATGAACAGAGAATCCCTCCTACTTGCGGCAGGATTCCCACTTGAAAGCACTTTTGGGGTCTTTGTTCATGGGTTATACCGGCCGCTCGAACGAGGACACTTGATCAGCCTCGTCACGGGTATGACCATTGCATTCTTGTACGAAGGCTTAGGGGCCCCCCTGAGCCAAGACCTAGGCGTTATGCTCTTGAGTACGGATTGGTGGGATTGTGATGCGGACCTACCGGGCCCTCCATATCACCCAGGCAGCCACTTCCGCCTTTTGACAGATGGAATGCCTACTGTTTTTCAGGTACAAGATGGACGGCGTTCTTCTTTCCGTAGCGATGTCGCAGAAGCACTGCAAGCTTCAATCGACAGGCTTACCATCCAGGTGTCCAAGCCCCGCATTCAGGATGCCTTCCCAGCAGGGTATCTTGTCTCAGGGGTTTTGATTGCCACCGAACAACTTAGTCGCGTGCCTTGGCCACCTGCAAGGAAACCTGAGAGGCGGGTGCCTATCCTCCTCGACTGTCGGCGTATTTTAGGTGGTATTCGTTGGGAATTGATGTCCAACAACCAGGTGTTGTACGAACCATTGTGCGCTCTCTTTTGCGACGCATGCCCGCTTGGCCATGAAGTTGCTGTGCGAGGCCCACCTCTGCATACTTTTCCCGAGGGGCACGGTTTTCTAGTTGAGGCAGGTCAAGTTTTGGACGTTGTCTATATTCCTGCCCAGTCAAGTGAGCGCAGCGGTGCTGATGACAGCGACATGCGACCGCAGGCTGGTCACGATCCCAACGATGCAGGCACACAGGATGGAGGGGATGCATCCCGGCCAGATGCGACCCGATCTGCATCCGACACTGCCTCAGCAAGCAGGGCGGCCCACCGAAGCCGCTCCCCACGCCAACAGCGACATTTCGCGGGGCAGCCCACAGTCGCCGTAGCATCTCAGATAAAGCCGAGGATCGGTGTCCTTGCAGACCTGTGCACGGCCAAGCTAGCATACTGCGGGTACTCCGGCGAGGGATGCGAAGCTGCTTGTGTTCTTCAGGCCCAGTCACTAGAGCAGCGGGTACCCGACAGGTCTTCTGGGTGGTGCGGGCCAGTGAGAATCAAGGACAGGCATATTGCTTCCCAGGTGCGTTGCCGTTGCCGCTACCTGTTTCGTACACAGCTAGCGCCAGACACTGAGATTATAAAAGTGATGTGCAAACTCCTTCAGGAACTTGCACCGGGCCAGTCACCTTCCGACCGTGCAGTTGCCAATGCCCGGGCCGCTACAAGGCGTCTCGGATTCGCGTGGCCTATGCGACCAGCGTTGCTGCCTTTGCCAGAAGGTCCTGAGGTTGCCCCTGGCGAGCAAGAGGCCCTTCTTGATGAGGGCTTAGTGTCTGTGACCTTTGTCATCCTAATACCGGAATATACACCAGAGTATGTAGACATGCAACTCTTACTGCCTCAAACACAGGCGGAGGCCCTTGAGGTTTTAGAGACCTGCAGATGCTACACAACAGCATCGGATTTTCCGGTGATGACGCCTGCTGCCCCGCAGCCCGATCCGCGGCATGCCTATATCTTGGCGATGCCGGAGTGGGCAGCAGCAGAAATAATCGTCTGCTATGATTTGACCATGATCGATGGTCGCATCTTTGCGGTCACTGTGCCGCAAGATGCGGGCCGTGCTACTCTTCTCAACGCGGCAGGTTTTTCAGCAGCAAGTGACATTGAGATCCATGTCCCAGGACACGGTGATGATGTCACTCATGAGGACCACCCCCAGCTTGTTACTGGCATGTGCATATCCTTTACTGAGCCAGGAGCACCGTTGGGACCTGCTGTGTTCCTTGAGGAGATGCTGCGCACTCATCTTGCCTGGGGATCATCTCCAGTTGTGCAAGCGAGTGAGGAAGATCGTTTCTGTCTGATTGGGACGGGGTTTTACTGTGATTTCCTCTTGCTGCCACATCGAGCCCCCTTTTATCGAGCTGACATTGCTGCGCGCTTTGGCATCTCTGCCAACACTGTACGTTTGTGCCCAAGTCAGCCCATCATTCGAGATGCGCAGTTGCACGGGAGGTCGTGCCGCTCTGTCGCTACTGTCAGTTCCAGTCCACACTTGCGACCAGCTCAGGATGACGCTGCAGCCATTCTAGATTGCCGTCCCATCCTCGAAGGTTGGCGAAGGGTTGAGACTGATGGAGGCTGCCTGGACCTCGAGGCCCTTCGCCAGCTTTTGGAGCGGACGATACCGGAAGGCTTCCAGGTATGTTTCTCGGGTTGCCGGCAGCATTGGACGTGGCTATGGGTAGACCCTGGTCAGGTTATACGAGTCACCTTTCGGGCTGTTGAAGCACCTGCGGCCGCTACCAGTCGGGGGGTCTCACCCTCGGAGGGTAACGATGACAGAATTCCCCCGACAGGCCATCACAGCCGTGCTTATGTGCGAGGTGCGAATGCCGACAGTGGTAACGTAACTGCAACGGCATCTATTGATGCCCCCAGAGGTGTGGCAGGGGCCGGAGGAGGTGCACACTCCGGTGCCCACTCAGCTTTAAGGGGCGGTAAAGATCATAGTCATACGCACCCGCGCCCTTGTCGGGCTCACAAGAGGAAGCTAGGTCATAAGGTTGCACATGCCCCCGCGAGCCGTTTGCTCGTCTGGAATGCACAATCGATGCACCCCTGGTAAGCCACATGTGCTGTGCAGATACCACCCATGACGCTCCATCCCGGTGGAGCAATCTGCCTTACACCTCTGTTCGTCTTATCAGGGACATGGCCAACAGAATGACCCCACAGGTAGTTTTCACTGACTACACGCACCAGCACAAGATCCTTAGCGAGCCCAAAGGGTCACACGAGCAGCCGAACGGCCCCGTAGCCCGTGTGCGGGGATATGCCCGTGCTGCAGGCCTACCTTGGCCTTATGACAGGCGCTTATTGGGAGACGTTCAGCCCGCGGATGACGTACAAGTCATTGTGGATGAGGCTGACGGCCAGACACCTCTTGCTGTTTGCCTGCTTCTGCCAAACTACAGTCCTGAACAGCTTGCGGTGCGCGTCCCCACACCCGCTACGATCGCGGAAGTTGTCAATGCCACGCGTCAGGAACGTTCAGGTTTCATTCGCGCGGCGTTCCCGCATGTTATGCTCCCCGAGGTGCAAGTCAGTGATAGATGGCTTTTAGCCATTGCTTTGCCATCATGGGCGGTCTGCGAGATCCACGTCGTCTTGGATATTACAGCCATTGATGCCAGGCTGTATCTGTGTCCTTTGCCTGCGGTGGTAGACCGGTACCTCCTCTGCCATGTCGCGGGGGTGCCCGATAACCATGAGGTTGAGGTATTCGTCGAAGGCTATACCCAGCCACTGCCTCATGGGCGAGACATGCGTGTCTCTACCGGCATGCTTATCACCTTTCGTCCAGCCGGCGCGGAGCCTCGGCATATCTTTGGACTCGCCCAAGTTCTGCAGCAGGAAGGACAGAGGCAACCACATCCTGTCACACTGTCCGCCCCTTCCGGTCGGCACCTCTGTATTGTAACGGACCACGGGCATCAGCGTCTGTCCTTTGGTCCTGAGACTCCCTTACCAAGCCCTATGACGATACCGAGCATGTTGGGCTTTCCGGAAGGTTCAAGAATCTGCGTGCCTTACGAACCGATCCGCGACGTCGAACTTGACGGCTTTTGCTGTAGTGCTGTCCTTGCGGTTGTTAGCAGTCGTGAACCTGCTGAGGTGCCATATGTGTGTATCATCGACTGTAGAGGGCTCCTGCAAGGCCTGACCACCTTCTCCTTTGGAGAGGAAGGGCTCTCCGTCCACTTTGTGTACGATGTCCTCGAGACATTCATGCCGCCACACTGGCGTCTACACACAGAAGGGGCAGAACTTGTTGCCGGACATTACGCATGCCGGGATGGGCATACCATTCGTGTTGCATTTGTCCCTGAAGAGCCTTCGCCAGAAGGCGATGCACCTCATGACGAAGGCTCTGAGAGCGAGCCCGACACTCAGGACCCTCCTTGTGAAGATGACGCTTACCAATCATCTGACGACTCTACATTTCGAGCCAGGGGTTCCACTAGTTCCTCTCGTAGTCGTAGCCCGCGTGGGATGGAAGGGGCTTGTCGCAGAATGGCCTGCACCTTCACTCGTCCCTCGGCAGTGAGCATGGCCTGCGCATCATAGCCCCGCCGTGTTCCAGACGGAACAGCACCACCTACTCTAATCTTCAATTTGACCTGCGTCACTGTAGCAAGATGGTCTATATAAGATTGACCCGCGTGTACAGCCGGGTCCACCCATGTCCAGAGCCGCCCCTGACACCATTCACTTGGGCATGCTATGTAATCGATGCGAGTAAGTGCGCCATTTCGCTTCTGAACATATGTCCCGGATGGCCCGGAGTGATATTCAGGAAAAGTGCATGGCAGACACAAACCAAGGCTTTGTAAGAAGTCACTAAAATAAGGTAAATAAGCCCCTGAAGCATCGATGCACTCAGCGTCGTGATCGCCAATCATCTGTGTAGGAGGGGAGCCCACCGCGGCATTGCAGTCCCCACCTACCAGGAGTGTGGCGCCCGACCCGTGCTGGAGGAGTAGATGTTGTGTGTCAGCCCACCATTCTTTGATGACACTGTCCTCTGTCGCCCTGTGCGGGGCGTGAATGGACACAAAAAGAATGCGCAATCGCCCCTGGCAGAAAAGCACCAGTATGCGTCGCGGGTCCTTGTGCAAGACACAGAGGGCTTCTCGCCGAAAGCGAAAATGTCTCGCATCGTCGCCAGGGTCCCGGACGCACGGAAATCCTTCACGGAACCAAATCTCAGTGCCGAGCGTGCCTCGGTCAGCACCAGAGCAAAAACGAATGAAGCCACTCGTATTGAGGACTCCTTCCTCCGTGCGTGCCTCCTGAAGGAGGGCAACATGAATACCTGCTTGTGTTAGGCTATCTGCCAGCAAAGCAGGTCGAGCTGGCTTGAAGGCAATACCCTCAGCAACTACACCCTCAACCGCCAGGCTATTGAGGGAAAGTGCATTGAAGGAGCAAATGCGGCACTGCAGGTCACCCCATACTAGGGCACTTTTCCCGGCATCAGGCAACCCTGAACTCGGCAAGAATGGCGCAACAATGTGTGAATCATCAAGACCTATGTTAGAGCTACACACCGACATGTCACACAAACCTGGGGGTGGCATTGACACATTCCCCGCGAGGGCTTGGTATGCAATGCCACACCAACGAATGACGAGGCCTCCGTCCACCCACCAAGTCGATTCCGGGTGCTGCCCCCAAGGCTCTTGGCCAACATAGCACCCCTTGGCGGCATGCTTCGCGAGCTTATCCGCGAAATCATTTCCAAGGTGGCCTTTGTGGCCAGGGACATACGAGACGTCGAGTGGGTGGCGCCCTATAGCTCTGCTTAACCCCGCTACGGCACTCAAAATAGCCGCGGGCCCACTGGGCGCCGCGGAATGGGTACCCAAAATGACTCCGATAGCAGCTTGGCAGTCAGACCTTATCACAAGGGGCCGATGATGGAATACTGTAATTCCAAGCCAAATTGCCGCGGTCAGGGCGCAGCATTCAACACCGTATGCTGAAGCAATTTCCTGAGCGTCAGAGATACACGCTGGCGTCGGCCCAGAGAGTGCGCCAACAGCACCCGAGCGTGGGCAGACGAAGAAGCACGCCCAAGCCTGCCGACTTCGGTCAGTCTCGGTGGCGGGGTAAAAGGAGCCGTCTGTGAAGCAATGTAGTTCGCGACTTGCAAACTCAATCGTTTGGGAAGAGCGTTGGCTCAGGAAAGTCACGTCACCCTGCGGGAGATTGCACAGAACTGGGCCTAGAGGTTCTAAAACCACAACAGGCTGCATAAAGGCAACAAATTGGCCGACTGTAACCCCTAGGCTGAGTGGACCTACCTGGAGTGGCTCCGAAATGTCTGCTCCGACGAGGGCGGGATGTTCTTGCGGGCTCCACGGTTGCAGACTGACGTGAAGACTCAGATGGTGCCAGATTGACCTCTGGGTCACCGAGATAGTTACCGGGTCTTCATCCGGCACGAAGGCATCGAGGCTCAGAGGCAGTAGTCGGAAAGAATAGTGTTCGCTGAGCGCCTCAAGGAGTGTTGCCGCCAAAAAGAAACCCTCAAAATCTGGCACGCCAAGGCTGTGCTCTAACAATGTGCATGGCCGTTTGCAAACCCCCGAATCCCTGAGAACATCGCTGGGAACATCACAGCGATGTGGGGAGCTCTCACGGTGCCCGGAAGCCGGCCGGCGAGACACATGTCCTACAATCATCCTACCGACATCCTCGATGGTTTGCCTTGATGGAGAGTCCTCCCTGGTACGGATGGCGGGTGCACGTGACCATCGACCCAATGCTCGGCACGGCGTAGGGATTGCCCGTCGGGTTTCGAGGTCAACCGAGGAAGCCTTATGCCGCTGCTGATCCTCAGCTCTGGGGCGAGTGCACCGGGGGCCCGGAACGAAATCCGGGGCGCGCTCAAAAGCAGAGGGCGCAGCACAGGATTGCTGTGGCTGACATAGCATAACCCCTAAAAATATCCCTCCGAGGCGGCTTGTATGAGATGAGTGTCTGGTCAGATCTCGGCCAGCGTGCACAAGTCCCTGCATATCATCAACTACCTCGATGGACTGCCTCCCCGCACGCCCACGCTGCCAAGCTGGTATCATACTTGCAGATCGCGCTGTCAGAGGCGTTCCCCAAGGGTGGACGCAAGCAGTTCCGACATTACCTCAGCCCAGACACTTGGGCTCTGCGCCGCGAGGTGGCGGCCTTGCGCAGACAGTGCGCAAGAGTTAAACACGCTCTGCGCTTCCACTTTTCATGCTTGGAGGGCACACAGCAGCGAGCCTATTCTTGCTATGTTGGAGTCCGCTTGGACGCGCGAGGCTTGTCGAGCTGAAGCGTCGCACGCACGCCGATTAGGGGATGTCTCTAGGCGCCTTAAGGCCGCGTGCAAGCAGGATCGGGCCCAGCACTTCAGTTATCTGGCGGAGCAAATTCAGCAAGGTGATGACTCTGCCCCTGCTGCGGAGCAGAGGCTCATGGGTTTGAAGAGAAAGAAACCTTTTCAGCCCGACGTTCTCCCTGAGCTTCAAAAGGCGGACGGTTCTTTCTGCGAGACACCGCAGGCAATCCAAGATAGGTGGCTTGAGCACTTCATGGAACAGGAGGCCGGAGTCGAGGTGAGCCCGACAGATCTCGCGGCCCTCACCAAACCGCAGTCCCCCGGACCCCTGCCCGCCTCGCTGAGTGAATTGCCGTCTCCAGATCAGCTTTTTCAGGCTGTTATCGGAGCCAAGAAGGGCAAGGCAGTTGGCCCTGATGGAATTCCAAGCGAGCTCGGACACGCCGGTCCACATCTCTTGTACGATCTGCTGCTACCTTTGATGTGCAAGATCGGACTTACAGGGATTGAACCCATCGGTTTTAAGAGCGGAGTTTTGGCCCGACTCTACAAGGGCCGGGGTCCCAAAACGGTCTGTGGAAGCTTTCGTGCAATCATGCTTCTACCGACCCTGTCAAAAATCCTCCATAAGACTTTCCGCCCGAGTCTATATCAGGTGTTTGACTCCAATGCCCTCCCGGCGCAACTTGGCGGGAGGAAGAAGACCTCGGTCGTCCTCGGTTCGCATTTTACGCGTGCCTTTGGGCGTTGGTGCGCAACAGGGGTGCTCCGCGATCACCCTCTTCGCGGACGTTGCCTCCGCCTATTATAGTGCTGTACGTGAGCTTACAGCACGTAAGGAAGGTGTCGGCAGCAGCGAGGCGCAGGCTAGGGTGCTCGGGGAGCCACTTGCACACAGTCAAGCAGTGCAGGAACAGCTTGCCCTCCCATCTGCTATGGAACGCGCCAGCGCGACGCCATGGCTGGAAGCATTGACTGCAGAGTTTAATAGCAACACGTGGATGGTCCTAGCTGGCGACACGCGACCTGCAGTTACGCGTAAGGGATCGCGGCCAGGCTCAAGTTGGGCGGATCTCTTTTACAGTGTGACTGTGCCACGCATCATCGAATGTCGTGATGCAGCCAGAGCCCAGCATCCCGATGCTGCTCGATCTTGGCCCATTCGGTGGGACGGCCGACAGGACCTCACTGAGCCGAGCTGTGACCCTGGTGATTGGGTTTGCGTGACAGAGCTCAGTGATGTCATCTGGGCAGATGATCTCGCAAAATGTATTCCTGTTGAGGATCCGGCTCATGTGGCAAGCACACTGTCTTTTGAATGTGCTATATTGACCGATGCCTTTGGTGTGCACGGGTACCGATTCAGTTTTGGGCCCACCAAGACTGCAGCGATCGTAGCGGTACGAGGACCAGGCTCCCGGAAGGTCAGGAGGCAACTTTTCCAGGGGAAAGCGGCCGTACCCGTATGGCGTGAAGAAGGAGGCGTTGAATCCCTGCCCCTCATACCCACTTATAGGCATCTGGGTGTGCAGACCTCTGCGGATGCAGGCATCAGCGTTGAAGTCAAGCACCGCATAGGTCAGGCATGGGCGGCCTTCCGCCAAGGTCGCTCGAAGGTGTACCGCAGCAAGCGTATTTCTGTAGCGAAACGGGGAGCACTGCTAGCTACCCACGTCCTGACGAAGCTTCTTTTCGCTGCAGGGGCGTGGCCGCAGCTCTCGAAAGGGGAACATGCAATGTTCTCACACGCAGTCCTATCCCTGTATCGACAGACTCTTGCTATCGGCCCGGATGGGGACCAACACCTTACCCATGCCACGGTATGCTCCTTGCTGCAGCAGCCACCGCCGGATGTGCTCTTGAGTGTTGAACGTGCCCGATATCTTCTACAACTCTTTCACTCCGCGCCGCCCCAGCTCTGGGCCCTGATCCGAAGGGACCCGGCATACATCGCTCTTCTGCGATCTGTTGTGCAGTGGATGTATACTTGGCTGTGGCGCACTACGGCCCTGACAAACCCTGAGCAGGACTGGGCTCCTTGGGATGCGATGATTCAGCACAGGCCAGGCATCTTTCAGGCGCTCATCAAGCGTGTGCGAGGCTTGGAGATCGCACGCACCTCCGGGCTTGCGGCTCTACAAGCGTTGAGACGAGCCCTCATCGCAGTTGCAGGCAGTCTCGAGGAGGACGTCCGGCCTGATGCATGCCAGTATGTCGAGGGGTGCCTTTTGTGTCGTATCGCCTTCCCGTCTCGGACGGCATGGGCGTGCCATGCATCGCGCGTGCACGGATATAGGACCGCGGCCACGCTTCTGGCGGCTGTGTTCTGCATGCGGCAAGGTTTTCGCGACGCGCGGGCGTCTACAGAGGCACTTGCAGGCGTCTGCCCGATGTCGCGTTGCTTGGGGTTCCTTTGAACTCGATCCGGCGCAAGATGTCGTTGAGGCGATTCACAGCCAAGCACTCCCCCTTTCTCAAGTGGGACACTCGAGTGGCCGTACTTTTGATTTCGATCCGGCGGCGTTGCATCTAGGCCTGCTGGCCGACTTGCAGGGGACAGATCTGGCGTCATCCGAGGGTTTATGGGAGACGGTGTGCGGATATGTGGCACCGCTGAACATATTGCGGCGCACTGTTGACATCTGGAGTGCCAACCCTGGCTCTGCCCAAGATCCTGCGGAAGTTGCTAGATCCTCCGAGGATCTGCAACTCTTGCTTGATGTCGACTTATGGTGTGAAGACTTTCGTGCACCCCGTAAACCACGCCAGCCCGTTGACTGTTGCCCGCCGTTGGCTGAGCCCTGCCTTGCCAGGTTTAGCTTTGTCCTCACAGGGACCCCTCAAATCTTTGCCCTTGAAGCTCCACCCTCGCGGGATTTCTGTTATCCTTTCCATAGCAGTGTCCCCCTGGCTGCAGCACGTAGGGCTGTCCTGTGGCTCGAGGTTGCCTGCGATACGGTTGGGCTTGCCGTGCAGGCTTCCATGAGCAACCCTGTGCTCATTCAAGCACCCACTTCTGCATTTTCCATGCTGGAGCCTATTTCGAGCTGGCTGAAGCAGAGTGGTTTTATCCCAGTAGAGGGTGGCTTGAGGACGCCGTACAGTTGATGTACATAGCTTGAACTCGCCACACTATTGGGATTCCTTTCTCAGTTTCACCAGAATTCATTGCTTGAGGCGCGTCCACAGGACTCTTGCCTATCCAGAAGAATAGCACGTTTGTTGAGTCACGGAATCCGGGGTGCGAAAATACTTCGTCATGCAACTCAGTTGCCAGTCAATGACTGCCCATGGACGCATCGTGAGACCTTCTCGCGGCGGAGGAAGAAGAAGAAGTGTAAATAAATAAATAAATAAATATATATATATATATTTATATTTATATTTATATTTAGTTGTATTTGTTTATATTTATTTATATTTATTTATATTTATATTTAAATCAGGTGCATGAAATTTCATTGTCTATCTGCTCTGAGGGCTGCAAAAGGAATCTAAAACCGTCGTCGACCTCGGAACGTGCCAACCTTGCTGGCAAGTGCGTGTCGCGAAACCCTTCTAGATCCATCCGGCGAAAGAGCAGAGAATTTGAAGCCATGCATGCAGGCCAAGCGCATGAATCCAAAGCCGGTGATCACACCAGACATTCAGCAGATGCCGCTGCATGCCCTTGTCTGGCACCCGGATGCTATCGATTTCGGTCATGTTGTCCAAATTTCCAGTGCGTACAGAAACGTTGAAGCCCAGCAAGGTAAGTTCCGTCCAGCAGTTGGAGGCGCCTGGTTCTTCCTGTCTGGGGCCTTCTTCCAGACTCCTATAGACTGTGCTGTGAAGGTCGAGCTGGCAGCGGCCCAGGCTTTTCAAGTGCTGGATACGGACCGGAACTCCTGCTGCCCTGGCTTACCGCATTCAAACCACACCGCAGTCGCAGGAGCTGCGGTCGATGGGGCTCAAGAACATTTGCTACAGCATGATCACCAGCCCATGGTGCGGCCTTTGCAGTGCTCGCCGGCTTCGTGCTTTGCCTTGAGCTTGGTAGGTTCTCGCGAGTGATGAATTTCATCATTCTCTTCAATGCGCTCTGCATGTGCTTTGACATCTATCCCCCTTATGCCTCTTGTCAGCAAGGGGGTTGGCCTGACTGAAGACGATGGGCGGGCCGGCAAGGACGACACGGTGCTCCTAATCCTGGACAACATCAACTTCTTGTGTTCTGTCATCTTCTTCTTCGAGGCCAGGTGTCTGGACCATGGCTCGTGCAGATTCGAGATCAGCCCGATCGACAGGTGTGCATCAAGATCATGGGAGTGGGTGTGTCCTTTTTTGAAGACAACGGAAACAGGCTGCATGCACTTCTAGAGAGGTGCAATAAGATATCTGAGAGCCGAGAACCTTCTTCAGGTTTGATTTTCTCCTGGTGATGTTGTCTGTGGTCGAGCTCTTTTTGAGCGGAGGGTCTGCACTGCAGCGTCCCAAGACTGTTCTGTTCTTAGAGGCTGCATGAAAGGTATTCGAATGTCTCGAGCTTCCCCAAGGTCTGCCCTGAGAACGGCAAGGCTCTTGCGAATCTTCCGAATGATCCACATGAGCATGTGGCTCGCATGCTGTTAGCTTTGGCCTTGTGGACTTGTAGGCCTAGGCCAAGACGAGTGACTGACTTTGTAGCACTGGCACGCATACGTTCTTCTGCCTCTGAGGAACTTCCGAATCCTCCTGATGGTCTTTCAGAAGGCCTCGCGCCTCGCACTTTTCGCAAGCTCAGACCGCCGCGACGAAAGACTCTTGATCTGCGAAGAGGCAGTGACGCCCACCCTCTACTTCTCCATGATCGTTATTCTGTCCACGCCTGAGAAAACCGGGAGAGCTGGACATTGGCCTTGTGACTTGGCGGTGGCATCTGTGAGATGGTCGCGGCACGAGGTTTCTGTACTGCTCTTGCTTAGCGGGCCTTCAGATCTTCAACAAGGATGACGGTGCACTGCCTACACCGCTAAGCGCGCGACGCCGCCTTGTGTGAGCATTGGCCCAGTTGAGAGTGGCAAGCTCGGCCTGGGTTTCGAGTCCTTGGTTCGCTGCCGAGTCTTGCATGGCCCCCGCGTCGCCGCGCGTTTCTTCGCGATCTCTCGAGGCCATGGGCTTCCTGACATCTCTCGCGATCTTCTCCGGAGACGGCTGGCTCGACATCACCACCAACCAGATCCACGGCAAGGACTGCTCGGGAAATCGCTCAGAGAATTATCAACATGCGTGATCGTGCATGAATTGCAGTGATGAGAAGATCAAACGAACACCATGCCAACTCCTACGTCACTTTCGCCTTCGGGCATCTGATACTGGTATGGCAAAGGACAATCAACTCTTCGGATTCTTCTACTTCTTGCTCACCTTCGCGTGCAGTCCCCAGTGGCGCCGGCAGGGCCTGGGCAAGCTAGTGATCGTCTTTCTGTGCTCCTTCAGTTCATTGAGGCTCGGGAAGGCTGTCTTGAAGAATTTGCTGCTGGGCATCATTGCCGCCGAGTTTACGGTGGCGCGAGACATCATGAAACAGGCTCTTGGGGGGCGGACACTGCGTGCATCACTGCGACAACGATTACCATCAATCTCCCTGGAGGATTTTCGGCTTAGAATGGCCATTGCCAGAGCAAAGCTCGAGAAGGCTCGGGAAGGAAGGAAGCCTTGTTGGTAATTGTTGCAGCTTTAGTCCTGTTCGCAGCGTCTCTTTAGAGTCGCACTTGCCGCCGGCCATTGGGGCCCGAACCTTTACTGCAGCGGGCCTGCTTGTTAGCCAAAACAGACGTGCGCTTTTGATGGTTTCTTCGATGTGCAGTTGAAATATGTTGAAATGGTAAGGTGGTTCTCACAGGGCAGCACCAAAACTCGAGACGATGAATCTCCAGCCTGCCGCTCCAGCTGATCCACCGTGATATCACACATTCTGTTTCCATCTGTTCAGCGGCTCAGCCGACGCGGGGGCGGTCCAGGAAGTCCGTCGTCGGAACAATCCAAAAGTTCGCTGGTAGTCCCTGAACTAAAACGGAAAATCCTAAATCCAGAAATCCAAACACCCAGAAGCCCGAATGCCAGAAGTCCTGAAACCGCACTCACAAACTCCAAAGACATAGAACTCCAGGAACAAACTCCCAAGTCAGAAATCCTTGTTGCGCAGAAGGTAGCAGAATCGGGCGGGGATATGCTTCGACAAAAACTCTTCTGTCGGGCCCACAGTCACTGATGAAACGGCCGTAAGTTGTTCCGACGAGATCGCAAACAATCTGTGCATCGTTGTGTGCTCCAAAAGCTTCTAAGCGAGGCTTTCTGTGACGTAACGACCCGCAGGTTGCATGGTGGCAGAAAAGATTCTGGACAGAGTTTGTGACGAAGCCTTTCCGTAGAGATTATTTGTTCGTGCATACACGAAACATGCAGTATTGAGGACGTGAAACACGTCGTGGTGCATGTTCGATGTACACCCTTGCAAAATGGGTGATGCCAGAGGTCACAAACTCGCCAGCTTAGTCATTGTCTCACGGCTTTCCAGATGAACATCCATGTCTGATCGTCATATCCTTCCGCGACTGTCACCATGCAACAAGTCTGCCAACTGCAGTTGCGCCTGACCGACGCCGCCCTGGGATCCACGCCAGGCTTGCCTGGGATCTAGAGTTGGAAGTTTGGAGTAAGTTTGCTACGGAGGGCACACAGTCCCTGTCCAGGCCGAGACAAGGAGGAAGCCGAGGCGCGGGGGCGTGCGTTGGACGCACTGGATTCTTTCAACTTGGCAGCTTCGGCAGGACGACGCAGAAGCCGCGCCGGACTGCCCTCCCCACGACTGCAACCCCGAGTCCCTGAGTAGTTTGCTGCCCGCTTGGCGCAGAAAATGTTTGCATTCATGGAACCAGCCGGGAAACGGGAAACAGCCGTGAAGTCCAACAGAGTCCAAAACTGGCCTCTCATGTCTCTCGTGAGGAGTCCCCGCGCTGGCCACAGCAAGCCTTCAGCCGTCTCGAGGGCACAGCGGAGAAGACCTGTGCGAGGCTGAACTAAGCTGTCAACGATGCACTGTAGATCACTGTTGGTTGTAGTACTGCACGCATCTGTCGCTCGGCCATCGTATCTGGTGCCGAAGCATTGGTAAACCGTGCCGCAGGGGGGGAAGGCAGGCAGGTACCTGTTTTGAACTGTGTCCGCGGGCAAGTGCACCAGGAGGGTGGCCTTCATGACGGGATCAGTGAAAGGAATGTTTCGAAAAATGGTGATGCTTCAGGAACATGGATGTTATCAAGATGATCCATGTGAAGGGCCAAGCAGCGAAGCGGCTCCAGGCTGGGTAAGATGTGCTCTCGGTGGCTTTAGCACGTCCGACTTTCCACAGGAGATCGGGAAGATCCACGCCATGGGCAAGAGCAAGTATTCTTGGCCGAAGCCTCCAGCTGCTGCAATGTCAGTGCCAGCCCCAATTGCTGCAGGCCAAAGGGCGAAAGGCATCCTCCTGATCGAGGTCTCAAACTGAGCTCCATCCCTTCCGAAGGAGCGGGCAAAGCATGCAGACCAAGGCATGACCGATGTGGAGGCTCGCTCCGCCATGTCGCTGCACCTTAGAACCGTCGTGTAGCAATGTAGCAGTAGCAGAATGGCGACGGCCTTTGCCACACTCTCTTGAGTGGCCAGCTTGACTGGTCGTTGAGCTGATTGCGCGGTAAATGCAAGGTGAATACGGGCAAAGGGACAGTGAGCGTGAGTTTTGGCTGTGATAGATGCCGCTAACGCGAGTGCTCCTGTGTTCAAAAGGCCATGTTTCTCAGCTCCGTGGAGATGCAAACGGCCAGCGGCATAGGGCGCTTGTAGTGAATTCAATTTCAAAAGCTTGGATGTTCGTTGCATTTCGTTGCGTTTTAAGGATGCACTGCATGGTGCAGCACCGCCGGAACAGGTGCTGATTTTGCTCCCTGCGTATGTTTCGGATGACCTCTGGTGGTAAGACGTGTGAGGCCTTGTTGCCGCTGGGGGTTCGCCTGCAGCGTGAAGCCCTGCATGGGGCGGCACCGCCGGAAGAGCAGGCGACGAGACACGGCGGCGACGCTCGAAAAGCTTCAAAGCTTCATGGGTTGTCTCGATACAAGTTACGAAGAGACATGGTTGATTCATAACTTGTTCACTGGCAGGAGGCGGAGGGTGCAGACGCCCACGAGCCAGGCGTTGAGCAACTTAAGCCGACATACAAAATGGACAACAAGCCGTGCCTGCTCGGATGCCGACGCCGGTCAGGATTCGTTTGCGTTCAGATCGGCTTTGCGAGATGCTGAGCTTTCTGTCGCGGATTCACGAAAAGAAAGAGCAATATCTGCTCGCGGAGGCGAGCAGCTCCTCATCAGCGGCGAACACACGCGCCAAGGTTAGGGGACTTCATTCCAAATCGAGGGATTTCCGAACACGGAACGAACCCCTCCACCATATGTGTCCGACCGTTGTTTCGCTGAGTAGTGGCCAATGCCAGGTCGACCACGCTGAGAGGTGCAACCGGAGTGAGCAGCACCAAGCTTGGGATGTATCCCTCTCACCCGCAGGACTGACCGGGCGAATCCCGTGTGCTCAAGCGACCGCCCACCAGGCCTGTGAAGCTAACAGGAAGACACATGAACTGAAGCCTGTCGAATCGGGGCGGCGGAGGTCCTTCGCAGCCCTTCACCGGCCGCCCGGCACCGGACTCGCCACGCATCGCCGCATCGCCACGCCGCTTCTGTGTGCGAGCGTTTCGCTCCTCAGATCTGGACCCAGCTCTCCGACATCTCGGACACCCGAAAGGCCTCTGAGACGTTGCGTCACTCTGTCTGGCATGTTGCGGCCCGATGCAGGAAAGCTTCATAGAGAGCTACCGGCGGGCTCGTGGATCGGCGAGAGCATCTGCTCCGCCGCGTGTCTGGACTGGAGACGGCCCAGGCATCGGAAGAACGAAAGAAACCGCCCCGACCTTTTCGTTCAGAGGCCCGCAGCCGGATGCCGAAGCACCACTGCGAAGGATGAAGACTGGGGCTCAGCTGGTGATGGTGGACGGCTCGAAGTTGCACGTAGAGTTGCGTGTCATTGCTTTAGTGTTTACCCCAGGTGTCGGGAGAATGCAGAGCATCGGATGATGCCTCCGCAGCGCAAGGTCTCTTTCGACCTCTGATTTGAGATGCCATGTCATGTAACCCCATGCATTCAGGAGGTCACTTTGGAAGAGTGGCAGCCTTAAAGAAAGCAGGAGGCCGAAAGTTTCCGTGGAGATAATGTAGCTGCAACAAGGACGCCACAAGTCATCGGGGACATCGTCCTGCTGTCGCAGCTGGAGGCAAGTTCCAGTTCATGACTGCAGGGGGGTTTTGCAGGTTTCAAGGGAAGAGGGGCAGGGCACGCGACCTCGCGCACCCTAAAACCCTTTTCAAACTGTTCTTGAATTCCAGCGCCTCAAAGACACAAACCGTTTAAGCGGCAAATCCTCAGCCCCAGACTCGCTCTTGCAAACATCCCCTTTTGCGTTGTGGGTTGTCCAACAAACCCTTTACCAACGGTTTGGGGTTAGCTCTCGCCAATATCTTCTTTAGGGTTTGGGGTTGCAACACCTCCTTTGAGGGTTTGGATTTGCCAGCATACCCCTTTAAATTTTACGGCTTGGGCTTGGCTCGCGAACATCTCGTTTTGGGGTTTGGGGTTGGCTGCCCAACATCTCCTTTTCGGATGTTTGCCAGCATACCAGGTTACAGTTTGGGATTGGCTCACCAAAGTCTCGATTTTGCGGTATGGGGCTGGCTTCCCAACATCTCCTTTTAGGCTTTGGATCCCCAGCATCGCCTTTTAGGGTTTCAGATTTGCCACAACATGCCCCTTTCTAACGGTTTGGGCCTTTGCTCGGCAACATCTGCTTTGAGTGTTGGGTTTCAGAAACGAGTTTACACTGGCTTGTTACGTTTTTTCACACCTCCGACTCCCCAACACTGGTAAAACCAGTACTTTTCGGCAATGCCCAAACACCTCTCAAAACTAGTGTTCAGCAAGAAGCCTCAGAAAATGCACATTCTAACAGAAAGACACTGAGCACCTCGTTGCAAGCACCTTCTCTTGGAGGACTTGCCAGAAGAGGAGCCTGTCGTGCATCAGGAGGACAAGCAGAGCAAACCCAGGTGCAGCGGGGGCTTTTGTCACGTCGTTTCGCACCGCATGCAGTGGCATATGGCATCAGGGACGGCGCACGTCTGCCTGATGAGAAGCCATCGATCACGGCAGCTCGGCCGAGATACCACACCGAACGTCACAAGCCCTTAGCCGACTCTCTGAAAGCCCTGCACGGCCCTGCACTCTGAGGAGCTGCTTCGAGGCTGTCTGGGCCCGAGCCAGCGAAGCGACGCGAAGGGCTCCAAGGCTCGCGGCCTCCCAAGCCCTCCCAGGTGCACGGAGCATCATGCGCTCGCCTGGCTTCGAGCCTGCCTGGTTCCCAAAAAGACACTCATCTCGTTCATGCGCCTGGGATGCCTGGGCTGCTCTGAGATTGTGATGTTCGTCATCGTTCTCTCCTCCATCTCGCTGTCCTTTGAGAGCCCCTTCTCGGATCCGAACTCGGAGGACGGCCCCTATGGCTGCCCTTGCTCTGCAGCTTGGGAGGTTGTGCCTGCGGCTTCACGTTGGATGCAGGTGGCATTCCTGCAGATGGTCATCGATCGGGTGCCCTGCGAGCCGTGTTGCAAGATGAACCGTTCGTAGTAAGAGTGGCTAAAGTTAGAGGGAATAGATCGTGCAGCTTCCGCTGCGAGTTGGCGGTGATGGTCATGCTCCTGGAGATGTTCGTTCGTATGATGGTCATGGGTCTGTGGAAGCATGGAGCTCGGACTATTTTTGCGAGTATCCCTATCCGTGCGCTTCGAACGCACAGGCCCCCGAGTGAGTGTGCGCCGGGGGAGTTGTTGACCCCTCAGGCTAGCATAAAAGAAGGCACTTTCAGACTCCTAAGCACTGCGAAGCAGGAATTTTCGGCTGGATCCGAGGCCCGGCTTTTTCCGCGTGCCTTGGCACGTTCTGGACTTCGCTTGGCACTCGGAGCATCGCCCATCCTGCAGACATGTGCAGACGTGTCCAGACCGTCGGATTGGGGTTGGGCTTGGTTTTATCGGAGCCGAAGGTGATCTGCCTTGGTGGTTTGACTTACTTGATGGCGGAATTCTTCGTCCGGAACCTGGTGTTTTCCAGAGCTTCATTACCGCAAGTCTGGGCCCCCCTGAGACCACGAACTTGGCGGAGCTGAAGTCTGTGCAGACGCTCAGCCTTTTGCTGGAGATGCACCTGCTGTGCTTTGCTTGGTGATCTGCAGCGACCCAGAGGGTTCACCTTCCAGGTCCGGGCGCTCAAGATGGTGTCAATGCTGCGGCCACTGCGATTGATTGGAAAGACCAGCTCAGTGCGGTTGATCATCGAGGCCATCTTTCCTGATTCCACATGCTTCCACCAAACTGTATGTCTCGTCTTGCCAGTCGCTTCTTGCAGCTATTCCAACGCTCGTCAACATGGCCTACCTGTCATGGCTTGTCAGAAGACAGTCCAGACTGGAGTGCTTGGTGTCATGTCTCGCTGAATGGCAGACAATGGTGAGCGCTCTCTTCTACCTCGGGTTCGGTCTGCTCTTCGTGGGATTCTTCAAGGGTTCCTTGGCAAACTAAGAATCTGCAGGATCTGCAGTGAAATAGCTCCCCTGCTGTCGCAGGTGCTCTGTATCATTGTTCGCTTGATCCTCAAGGACGACGACAAAAGATGTCAGAGGTTGTCGTGGTGTAAGTACATGTATAGGACGGATGAATGATAGAGGGCTTGTTAGAAAAGGCCAGCAGGTCTGGACATCAATTGAGTGTATGCAAACAGCTGTTCGACTTGATTAGGAGATCTGATGCCAGAGATCGTGACGCAAAAGGATTGCCTGAAAGCAGGCCAGCATTCACCAATGTCACTGTCTCGATAAGATGGTCCGCTTGGCAGGCGGAGAATGGATCAACAGCGTGTCCCATTTCGATGCGGTGACATATTCCTTGGTGCGCCACCCCCCCGTGCGTGCTGTGGTCAACGATGAGTGGGGTGTCATGTGGTGTGATCGTGATCGTCGTAGTCCCGCAGGTCACCTTGCTGCACATTGGTTCGGGGGAGGGCTGGATCGACGTGACCCTGAACATCATTGGGGCACAAGGCGTTTCAAGAGACACAGCCAGACTCGCAACACCAACTCGCGGCTTGCAGGTGTGGGTTTGCAGCCGTGGACTCAGTGGGTGCCGGATGGTGTCGGAGCGGAGATGCGGATGGGCTGAGGCCGAGGCCGAAGACCAGGGTGGAGCAGGCGATCCCTGTTGTGATCTTCATGGCTCCTTCGCAGCAACTGAGGTTCTGCAAAATACGCCTCTGCAAGTTTCTGCAACTACCCAGACGCCCAGACCAAGGCTTTGACGAACTTCTTCCTGTTGTCAGCCGGTCGCGCGTTGAAGATTCAACATGCTGTTGCTCTCCTTTTCGCGATGAGATGCATGATGTTTTTGTAAGCCAGGAATCTGCTGACCGGAATTTTGGTGGACTCGTGCGACGTCTGCAGTCTTCTTTGCTTGCTTTCTCGAAGTAGCGTTCGACCGTTGAAACTCCCAAAAGCCTTGCCCATGCAACGTGGATGGCCTGCTGAAGATGTGTTCGGTCAACGAACACCGGTCTGAATCGGTAGCAAAGCTCAGTGAGCGTTTGAGGTACACCAGTACGAAAGCGGAATTCTCGGGGCAGAGCAACAACACCTCAGAGGACGGGCAGTTTGGTTTCGTTCCTGAAGCCGTGGCAACTTAAGCTGCAGGAGAGGTTGATCAAGAAGCTGCAGAGGGAAGTCCTGCTCAATCCGGTGCGAGTCCGAACATCCGTTGCGTCCTGCGTTTAGTTGCTCGCTCTTGAATTGCAGGAAGTCCTTCTCCCACCGCCGCGAATCGATGTCCGAGGCACGATCTTTCCTGACACCGACGAATCGTGCAAAGCTTTTTTGGCACATGTCGGAGGCAAGTGCTGCCTTGCAACACGAAAGCGGCTGAAGTGGTTCATCGAGCCTGGGCCTTCGAGTTCGTGCTTGCGGAACAATCTGTGATGCTCTGTGGGCAGAGGCACCGGATCTCGCGAATCATCATCTTCGTGGGCATCCTGAGCAATGCAATCGTCCTGCCAGCTCTCTCAGCTCCCTTCACTGCGCTCTGAAGCAGAACACCACTGAGCCACTGAGGGGCATCTCCCCGGTCATCTTCCCCGAGCTGCTGGAGTTCCGGAGGACCGAAGCAGGCTCCAGGTTATGCTAGCAGAAAGACGGAGGAGATGGTGGTGCTATGTGGTGTGGTGCTAGTTTCTTGCGCCGAGTGCCTTCGTTTCAGGATCGTGAGTGGACTCTTGCTGGGGCTCTTCGCACTGGAGGCCCCCCTTAACGAGGGCAGAGTTTTGGTGATCGACTGGTGTGCCCGTGCGACCAAACGTAACGTAGTCGAGAAGCCGCATGGATGCGCTGGCCTAAAGTTTCAGTAGAATGTTACATGCCACGTTGCACACGGAGAGACTCCTCTATCTCAGCAGAGTGGATTGTACGGTTGACATGCCGGGAATTAGAAGCGGGCGTGTTTCATCTGTTGCTGTCAGCTCCTTTCTGTCGTCACACTGCCAGCTTGTGATCAAGATCTTCGTGTACAGCCGGGACTTTTTCAAGGTCTGTGCCTCGAATTCAGGGACACAAGTACAAGCTGCTGAAAATTTCAAGCTCGCAACACAGGACAAATGGCATGCTTACGACAGCTTTGCCATCACCGGGCCGTCGCCTCTCGGGGCTCCCAAGCAGCTCCCCCGCTCCACTCAGTTTTGCTCAGCTCAGGTCTTTGATCGGTGCATTGGTCAATGCCCTCGTCGCCGAGAAGGCACTAAAGTCTGGTTGAACACGCGCCCACATTGAGGTTCCATATGAATTTGCAGGGGGTCATGACACAAATCCTTGGCGGCTTCCAAATCCTGCGCATTCTCATGCTGGCCGCCAGCTCGGCCTGCACCGCTTCGCGAAAACAAAGGGTCCCTGAGCTTTTCAGGTTCGCTATGCCTGGTTCATGGACAGCATCACCAGTACGATCTGGGTAGCTTTGCGCAGGACTCAGAATTCTCCCTCGCCATGGACAAAGCACATGGCCGGAGCCCGGACCGAGGCCCGGCCTCTTCCAGGTCTCTGCGCTCCTGACGCTGCTCATGTTCATGCTGTGGGCTCAGCTTCTGGCCTAAAAATGCCTGGAGCCTTGTCGGAACCTCAGGTATGCGTGCCTTGGCGTGTCGCTCTTCGGTACTATCATGGGCACAGACGAGGCGGTCCAGGAGACGTGTTCATTCTGGCTGGACCTGCCGAGTGTAGTGATATGCAGTGGTAGCGTAGCGGCGTAGCCATCGCGGCGTGACGGGATTAAGCCCATGCTGCCAGGCTGCACAATCGGCCATCGACGGCAGCTACCCCTTGTCTGATGCCCTGCCTGCATGTTTATGAGAGTTCCGCTTTTTCGGGGCGCTCAACAGGCCACGCCTTGCCAGAAAACGATACTAAAATCTATTGCTGCCCGCCATGACAGTCCAACTTCTATAGCTTCAACAATGCTTTTCTACTGATGATCCGATGTGCGACGGGGGAGAGGCTTCAGCTAACATGTTCATTGCTGATTGAGATTCTCGCATCATGATTGGTTGGTGAGCGAGGTGGCACGACATCATGTATGATCTGGCAGAAGACAAGCCAAACTGCACCACGACGGCACAGACTTACGAGGACGAAACCGGTTTAACTGCGGTCACAAAATGTGGACGAACTAGTTCGGCTCAGATGCTGCAAAAGAGGACCTGCAGCAGAACGGGCCTCGTGGATGCGGCAGCATGTTTGCGTGAGCCGGTCTCGGTCTCCTCATTTTAAGCCGTGGCATGTGCCGTGTGGCCCATACCGTGTGGCAGGTATCCTTATTTCGTGAGCTATGTCCTGATCGTCCTGTTCAACATGATGAACTTGATCATTGCGACGGTGCTGGATGCGTGCTCTGTGGTAGTTCCTTCTGCCAGATGATTGGAGGTTGGTCCCTGTCTCTTCTGTCGGCAGCAGGCACATGCCGCCGCACTGAGAATAACACCCTCAGGTACGGACAGGTGCACGAGCTCATTGAACTCGAGGACTTGCGCACGATGTTGCAATGGCTGTCCTGCTGTGTCAAGCAATGAAAGTCTGTAGCTCCGAGCTCGAGGATTTTATGGTTTGTCTGCGTGCGCTGCCCGCTGCCCAGTTCAGTGCTCCACAGATTCCCTGCTGTTCATGTCTCCACGAGCCAGGCGGGACTCCTGGGTGGATATCGACAGGAACTTCTTGGGCTACCTTCACGTTGCGGAAGTCGCTTTGTGCTCAGCAATAAGTCAGCGTCGAAGTGCGCTTTGTTTGCCAAGTCCTCCCTGCTGAGGAGAACATCCTGCTCAGTATCCCTCAGCCGGTGGGCTTCATCGGCCTCAAGAAGTCGCTCGGCTCGAGAGTCGCAGCTCGAGTGACGATCTGAACCTGCATTGCCGGCAGCGACAAGGCGACAGCTGCTCCGATCCCTGATGAACCTCCAAGTGCACGAGGGAAGGCACGCACTTCTGCAGCTTGCATGAAGCACGGAAGCAAGTTTACGCAGCATTCCATGCCGGCAAATTGCCAGCATGCTGGCCTATCGGGATGTCGTGAAGTTGGTGGCGCAGCGCTCGTCCACCCGGCATGTGGGACGTGGGAAGCACAGAGCTTCCGACGTGTCCAGCTGTGCACGCTGTGGCGATATGTGGCGGTGTCAGGGTGCTGTTTCTCAGCGGGGAGCTTCTGCTCCATCCTCAAGAGGCGTTTGGACATGTTGGAGGCTTGAAATAGTGCGAAGACCACTCAAACTACAGCGGAGGCGGAGCTCGATGAACAGGCTCTTCGCACTTGGAATGCCGCCTTTCCGGACCGTGCTTTGCTCTGTTGAGAACTTCTTGGAGAGTGCGATTGGGCCGCTTTAGCCTTTAAAGTTTCCAGGAGCTGCCCCCCGAGCCGCCCTCAGACGCCATCCTCATCGCGCACATCGTCATCGCCAGGCGTGGTGAAGCGATGGGACGCACGATCCCGCCTTTCCCAGCTCCTGCTGCCAGGCGAACCGCGATTTACATCCGCAAAAAGCCGCTCGTCAAGACAGAGATGAAGCAAGCAAGAGAATCAGCTTGATGTTTTGTTTGTTTGTTTGTTTGTTTGTTTTCCCAGTCTTGCCTTTCTCCAGGCGTTGGGAGTGGAAGCAACGCAGTCGCTCGGGACAGGCCGTGGCAGTTTGCATGTCGACACGCAGAGAGTACAGAGACAAAAGTCATAAAAAGGAAATCTTGCTACTTGTAGCATCGGATGTGGCCCCTGGAATTGTAAGAGAGGCAGGTGGGTCGTTAACTGTCATGAGATGTCCTGGGGTCGGCCTGCCAGAAGTTGAAGCCTGCATAGCCTGCATGGTGGACTCCTAAGACCCTTTGAGTGTATTGCAAAGAGGGGCGAGCTCGTAGAGTACCATCTGCAAACATCCGTGCGCACTACTACGTTTCTGTGCATCACGCAGTGTCGGCCACCTGCAGGGTGCAATGCGGAACCTCAAGAAGGCTGCAGCGAACAGAGGCAATGGTACATGCTGCTCGATAGCTGCTCGATGACAGACGGAAGGGTCCTAGTTCCGCAGGTCCGGCTGATGCGGCCCGGGTTCGCTCACCACGGAGCTCACCCCGTGGCTCGCCCCGGGGTTCACCACGGAGTGGTTCGCCCCGCAGCGGCTCGCCACGCAGTGGCTCGCCGCGGAGCGGCTCGCCGGCATCGGAAGGCTGGTGCCTGCCTGTTTTCCGGAACCGCGCCGCGGATTCCATGAATCTGATAGGCAAGGATGACGCTTGGGAGGACGGCCACTCGAGTTCTGAGCATGCTGAAATACGCAAGAAGCTCTCACTGCAAGCAGCAGGAGGCTATGTACAACGTGGACGTCGACATAGACACGGCCCTTGCGGGCGTTTGGCACTTCTGGCTGTATTACCATCTCATCTCCAGGACGGTCAGACAGTTTAACTGCGCCCCGACCGGTGTGCAGGCCATACAGACGCAGAGGGAATGAAAAAAGCTTGTGCCAGGGAGCAAAGCGATGATCCCGGTCCGCCAACCTCCATTTTCGTGAGTCAGTTGGCGCAGTCATCTCAGGGCAGACTGCAGCTATGCAATGCTGTGTGACGTCTCGCATAGGCCATAAGCATAGTACTGAGATCTTTGGATCCTTTAGCCTTTGGTCCGACTTGTCGCCATCGTTGCCACGAGGCCCGAGGAGACAACTCAGATGCAGCGCTCGCGCAAGCTGCCCCAGCTGTCTCCGTTGCGGGGCGGCCCAGAGAGGGGAGAGAGGCCCAGAGGGTAGGCCTCCGAAGGCCCGACACCCTGCGTAGCCGAGGAGGTGGCCTCCGCAGGAGCTGGAGAAGTACCAACCCGAGGAAGAGCCCGTCTTCACGCAATGCCCTCAGTCCCAGGCGCTCTTGCGAAAGCCCTCACGCTGACTTTCTGTCTCAGGAATGCAGAGAGCTCTATGTGGGCCAAAGTGGCTGACCTGGCGCAGGGGAAGGACTCCAAGCCTGGGTGGAAGGAGTGATCTTGCCGCGGCCTTACATTTCCTGGGCACCCAGTCTGACATGAGGCTTGGGACTGAGTTAGACAGGTAATCTGTTGGGCACCACGACATTCTGAAACCTCGTTAATGACTCCTGGGCGCAGCTCTGCGGGTCTGCCCCTAGGAGACTTTCCTTGTCGCAGCCATGCTGCGAGCTGCTGGCAAAGCCACCAGAGTAAATGTAGCGAAGCGTGGGTGCCACCAGGAAGGCTCCTGAGGTCCTGTTACTACAAGTGACAAGTCCTCTTGCCGATCCGAGTTGTTGAAGTTGTTACTGCCACGACCCGAGCAAAGACTTCTTATGTCACCTCGCTTGTCCCAGAATTAGGTGCATGCCGGCATGCTGAGCAAGCGTGTCATGCCCGAACATGTGCCGTCTCACACAGAGAAGCCAGATGCCAAAGATGCCAAAGCTGCTTGGCGCATGTAAAACAAGTTGCATGATGAACCGGGTCGAACGGAAGCAGCGACGGCGTTGAAAGGTTGAAGGCCTTTGTGGTGGTGTACGTGCGTGAAAGGAATGACGTGTGTCATGCGGCGGCGTCGTTGACTGCAAGTGTAAGATCAGGCTCTATTCATCCCCAGCCCACCATGGATTTTGGATTTGTTGGTCTACCACTTCCCTCGCCCCTATGGCGTAAGGTTGCTCTACAGGTATGTTCATGTGTGCTGGTTTGGCAAGGATGTTAAGATTTGTCTCTCCAGTGGAGGAGGGACGACTCGTCGCTTCGGTCTGGGTGGGTGCGGCGTAGGTCCAGCTTGCATCAACAGAGTAGGGAGTGACACGCTTCCCCGCCTTCATCACCGAGCGCCGCACAAGCTGCCGCCGACTTCGCGGTGCAGGGTTTCCCAGCTTAAACCCTGGCAAGAAGCTTTCCAAGCCACCAACCGCTTCCCCACCCAGCAGAAGAGAGGAAACTTCGGACTATCCGTGCCGCCGGCGCTGCCATGCCACCCGGCAACGAGGGCGCTTGGGACGCGAGCGTCAACATTTGGCACCTTGGATGCTCCCTCAGACCGGACCTTACGACCCGGGTGCTGACCTTTCAACAGCCGATGCCTTTACCATCTCCGGCGGTCCGAGGACCTGCATGGCCTGGATGCCTAGTCGGAACCCCTGTGGCCTGTGCCACGGGAGTGCTCTGGACTCCGCTCTTTGACGCAGCCATCGGGCGATGCGTTCATGCTGCGACGCAAACGCGTTGGAGCGTTTGCTCGCTATCAGCGATCGGCAATGTCTTCAGGAACACGATGACCAATCAACATCCAAAAAGTTTGTCAATGAGCATCAATGAACTAATGTATTCCGACGACACGCCGCTGGTAGCGTTATTCACATTCGGGAAATCCATGGTGCCCTGTGACATGCATCCGGCAAAGCTGCCGCGGAACTCAATCGCGGGTTGGGTTTGACAATTACAAACTTCCATGCCTTGTGCCGGTTCTGGAAACACGTAGTGTCTGGACACAACAAAGGAAGCACAGATGTTTTCAGTTGCAGATCGCATATTTCCCTACACACGGCGTGGTTTAGAAAAGTGGACGCCTGCACGGGATGCTTTCCAACCTCGGTGTGTCTCCGACAACTTTGACTCATCCCACCTTCGTTCGTGAGTTGTTTTGCACACATTGCGACAAGCGAATTGTGCGAAATTGTCCTGTAATTTTGCAACAGCGACAGCTGCAATCCCGTCAAAGGCTGTGATGCGCAAAGTATGTTTTTTCGTTGAAGCTGTCTGATTCGGCGTGGCTTCCGGTCCTGCCATGGCCGATGACTCTGCCATCTCCGGCCTGTTGTTACGTGTTCTGCTTTCTGCTTTCCGTTGCCATTATGGCGGCGCACTTACAGCTGGTGGGGGTGCTCCCGACTCGCGCATCTCGCGCACTGTGTTTGGAACGTGCCTTGGCCCGTGTATGCCGCGAGGCTGGGGCCTGTGTCGCCCGCCCTGTCCCCAGCGTTGACTTTCAGCCTCCCATCGCGCTGACCCCAGTCGCTTGCCGGCTCGGGTCGGGCAATCCTTGACGTTTCGCTCCCCGTGTTGGCTGGCGCTAGACAGAAGCTTTCTGCCCTGGGACCGTTTCTTACAACTTTTGTTGAAGAAGCGTGCGGACAAAAAAAGAGGTGGCGTGAGAGAAGGGATTGCGGATGCGCACATCCTGAGTCTGTTGCTCCCACCCGCAGTTGCCGTTGTCACACAGACAGTCAGCCGCTCCGTTGTGCCTTCATGTACAACAAGACGAAGCTGCACAGCCTTGACTGCTCTACTCGGAGTTCGAGTGTGCTGCCTGGTTTTGTTGCTCTGTTTGTGTGTCCCGCGCCGCCCTCAGAAGTAGGTGCAGGAGGCCTCCTCAACAGTTTCTATTTGGCAGGTTGTCGGGTCCTTGCAATGTACATATATGTACATTCTCCGTCAGTCTCCCGGCTTGCTGCTAGTTTTGCTGCAAGCTTGTGCTTGATTCCACACACCTCCGGGCCGGATGTGTATCACTCTCAAGCCTAATGGCCTGATTTGTTGCTTCCCAGCTCGACTTGTGATTTGAGGTCTGCGCGCCTAGGCAAGCAGCAGCCGGCAACTCGGGTGTTTACTGGGTCCCTTTTTCGCTCACCAGATCGTACACCACCGCTTCCCTCGCAACCATGCCTATCATGCGCGATTCTGGGGTCTGGCCCGATCCTGATTGAAACTCTGATGCATTGTGTCGTTTTTGCGCTTCGAGGCAGATACCCTTTACACATGCATTGACATAGTGCCCAACGCATAATCTAGCTCGCAAGTGCTGGTGCCAACAAGCTCGTGGACGAATCGATGCCGGAGACATCTTGTGAAACATAGCACTTGTTGGGGCTGTGTGCCAGGTATTTCATGAACAGCAGAGCAAGCAGGAGTCCTTGAAACAACCGTGTGTACGGAGCTGTACGGTCAGTATATGCATGTGATAATATCAAAGACTTGCTGCATGACAACGGAGCATGAAGCTCCAGCCCCACGCTAGTGGACGTTGAGCATGACATAGATTGGACTCGAAAATGATGCACGGAAACATCCAGCAAGTGTGCGCCTCAAACTCATTGGCATGAACAATGATTGAAAATTTTCCTCACCCGACAAGGAATGCACAAGTTTTCGTGCAACAGGCCAGATACGGCCGGTTGGTTCGCCAACCCCTGCATCAGAATTCCTCTCATCAGCACACGGATGATGACCCCATTTCAACAACGTCCACGCTCTCACCACAGGCGAGAACAAGACCCATGCACAGAAGAGCAGAGCTCTAGGTGCACCTCGATATCCTCTACCTTACCACAGCGATGGCACTGCCGCAATATCCGCAATCCTGCCTGATATGGGGTAAGGAGTCGCGAGCCGTCTAGCCGACCTCCAGGCCACAAAACACCCGGCTGCACATCGACGACCTCGGTTGCAGACGCGTTGCGCTGCCGGCGAAACTCGGCGGCTTGGGACGGCGTCGGGCCACGGAGAGCCGCAGTGCAGAGTAGTGGGCGTGTTGGGCAGACATGTTGCCAATCGTGCACCAGCACCACCCGAGTGTTGTGATGGGGGATGATGGGGTCAGCCATGTGCAGTCGTTCGACCTTGGAGAGGCTGACGCGTCCACCGGAAACCCGGCGGAACTAGCACAGGCAGTGGCCCCGCCGCGGGAGGCCAGGTTTGCGTACGCGGAGGCTGAGAAGAATTTGGGCGACATGTTGATGCGATCTATGCGGTCCCAAAAGCCTAAGGATCGGATGTCACCACCCTGGAAGGCCATCGAGGATAAGAAGGAACAGGACAAACCCAATGCCCCTATTGTCGACCACCGCGAACAGTCCTCGGATCTTCGGATTCTTTGTCGGATTCCTCATCCTGTTCGCCGTTAACCTCGTCACCGCCTTTGAGCACATCAAACAGGAGTGGACGGACGTGTGGAACTCAGCGTTCTACCTTGTTGGGTTAGTGGACAACAGTCCGAATCGGAAACGCATCAATGTGGCAACTCGGCTTCTGGATGCCCTCAAGATGGCACGCTCGGACGCTACGTCGGAGGTGGTGTTAATTGCGTTTTTGAGCAGTGCTCACTTGGAGTCTAGGTCTGTGAAGAGGAGGATGCCGGAAGCGACACGCCGTTGGAAGCCTTGAGGACCTGCTCGTAAACATGTTCCTTTTGTTTGTATCCACCCGCACCAGCCCAGTCGTCTGCCTTGCAAAACGCATCTTAGGATGGCTAGGAGCAAACGTGTTGTAAAACATACTACGCATCAGAGCAGAAAAGAAAAAGACCTGCAAACGCATAAACCAAAAACGCAGCATTCAACCTCCGGAAACACGCTTGCAAAAAAACACTTCAAAATCACTTTACAGTGGCAACGAGAAAACGGGCTGGAACGTCTCGGGAAACGCTCAAGACAATCGGAGGATGTGCGCCGTTGCGCCAGCACACTCGTCCGCGGGGCTTCGGTGTTTACTCACGCCTTCGGCCGGTTAGGTTGGGCAGTGGCGCCGTGGCGCGTGAATCATGGGGGATTGCATGGCGGCCTCCTGGAGCACCTTCATCAACTTCGCTCAATCTCGGCGTTTACTCCAAAATCGAGACCGGAAAGAGTTCAATGAAATTTTCCAAATAGGGAGTGACGTCAATTCAACGCACCAGCTACAAATCCACGAGATCATGAACTCGGGGAATCCCCGCCTTGCGGAAATACCTCTTCATGTACGTTGTGGTGATGCGCTAGCTGAGTCTTGCCAGATGCAGCTCGTCATTGCTTCCGACCACGCATCTGTGCGTGCAGCATGGGGCGTTGTTGAAGTGTGCGTGGTGGCCAACCCAAGATCATCAAAGTACAAGATCGCTAGCAACGCTGACCGGGTGAAGTGCGCTTTCTCCCACATCTTTAAGAACATCCCTGGTGAGGAGTGTCTGACTAATGGCCCAATAGATCCGCAAGACGGATGCCGCCTCTTGGGACCCGTTGGCAAAGGATC